CCGCCATTTCCGTATTTGTCGCGGTCACGAATGGCGCAAAAGCGCCGCCGGGTCAAAGGATCACCAGGGAGACGAGGACGTGCGGGCGGCGCTTTTATTTGCTTTTCTTGTCGGCGGCCAGCGCGTCGTGAAGCGCCGACACGCACTTCTCAAAGCGGTCCATGGCCAGCGTTCCGTTGCGGTCGAAGAAAGCCGCCACGGACGAGGTCGCGTGGCTCTCGAGCCACGTCTTGCGCTTGCCGTCTCCGAAGGCCACCCGCAGCGTGTACTGGTCGTCGAACCTGCCGGGGGCGAGAAGCGGCCGGCGGAGCGTCAGCCGGCGAGGAGGGGCCGGGGCCGGGGGGCGGGCGCTTACCGCTTGAGCGAGGACGAAAGCTGCCACACGTGGTCCGGATCCATCCCGGCCGGGTCCTTCTGGAGGGCCACCAGGAAGATGTTCTTCTCCTTGTACGAGGTGTACAGCGTCAGGACGCCCATCATGATGAAGTACGTGCGGGCCGCCGCCGTCAAGGAGCTCAACGTTTCCGCCGGGAATTCGCCGCGTTTGCCGTCGGAATCGCCGCCCGATAACTCGCCTCCCCTGACTGAGAACAAGAGACGCCGCCTGCCCGCCCCGAATTGCGTTTGGGATCCTTCCGGACTCGGCCCCATCCTTCGTCCGCGTCCTCAACGGGCCCCCCCCGAGGGGCCGTCAAAGGGAGCGCCCTTTTGTCGCGCCGGCTGCCGTTTGGCGCTTGGAGCGCCGCGGTCGCCCGCGAGAAGCTGCGGTGGGGAAGCTTTCGCTGCAGAGAGGCCGCGGTCGAATCACGGCGGCGGGCGGACGCCCCCGGCCGTCTCCGCCGACGACTTTATCGCGGGCTCCGCCGCTCGCTGTTATTGGGCTCGCTCTCTGCGCGAGTGACGGGCGCGGTCTTTGACCTGCTCCGACGTGGCCCGAGACGACGCGCGTGCGTGCCCCAAGAGTTTTTTGCGCCCGGCGAGGTCAACAAACGCGCCGCGCGACACGTGAGGTTGCTCGTCGTCTTAGCGGGCAGGTCTCGTTCGCTCGCCTCTTTCCATGCCATGTTACCGACTGGATATCAGGAAGCCCGTCTTGCTTTTGTCTTTTTTCTTTTCTTTTCGATACGGTCGGGAGAACTCGGACCAACTGCTGGCCTGTGACGAGGCGAGCGCCGCACCGAGAAAAGAAAGGGCGAGGACGCGATCTGAAGGATATGAGACCACGCAGCAGGCCAGGACGGGTCTGGACTCGGGGAAAGGGTGCAAGTAGTCCCAGACCAGGGCGACCATGGCGAAGACGCACGACACCGTGCAGATGACCAGGCGGCCGTCCACCAGCCCGAAGTTCTCCTCGTAGCCGTACTTCTCCAGCAGCACCTGCGCAAATGCGCCGCGCGAGTTCGGCGCGCTTCAAACTTTTGCCGAGCAGAAGCGGCCGATACCGATGGCGTCGGGCCACTTGTGGGAAAAGCGAGCGGGGACCCGGAGAAAAGCCGCGGCGGGCGCGGGGAGAACGTGCAAACTCGGCACGGGAAGGCCAGAGTGTGCGCGTGCGCGTGCATCCGGAACACGGCGACTCTCAACCGGCGCGTGCCGAGGCGCCTTAGTATGCCGTGAGACGGTGCGGCGCAGTCAATGAAAATGGATCTTGTTTCTCTAACAGTGACTTCTAATAAACAGGTACGTGCTTTGCACAATTGTTTGGTTGCGCGACAAACATCACGTCCGCGCTCGGGCTCGGGCAAGGTTGGGGAACGGCCGCGGCCTCGCGTCCGGCGCTACGCGGTCGGACTGCGATCCGAGGAGCCCCTCGGCGTGGCGCCTACCTGCTTGGCCGCATCATCCAGAGAGTTCTTGACGGCGGCGCCGTCCCATTTGTCGATCTTCACCGGCTTCTCGTCGATTCGCCACTGAAACGCAGTGCCGAGACGTCATCGCAAAACCGAGCGTCACGGCCACGCCGTTTGGACGAGAGCAAGCGTTTTTCTGGAGGGATTTGAAAATGTCACTGTACACGGCGACTATTGCCAGGATGCGAGATTTGAGTGGTGGGGGGGGGTCATATTGGGGCACGTCGATATATCGGACCATCTTTTCCTGAAATTGTTCCAACTCACCACTACTTTAACAATCGATTCATCTGCCAATTCCCGCTTTGATGAATCGAGTAGGGGTAAAAAAAATCTTCCAACCGACTGTGAAGAAAACGCAAAGTCCGCCTTGATGGGGGACTCCGGAAAGCAGAGACCATTGACCGCTGGCTGACCGAAATCCAACGAAGTGGACAATTTCAAGTTGAATTGATCATCAGAAGAGTCGTCGATTCGTTTACCGCTTGACTTTGGCCGTGAACGTTTGGAACGGCCTCCCGCGCAACGTTCGACCGCCGCCGCCGCGACGACAGCCGACGTTTATTCTTTGCCTTTCGACACACCGCGACCGTCGGCGCCGTTTTCGCGTTTCGTGGCGTTTGCCGTTCGGCTCTCTTCGCGCGTCTCATTTCGGTCCGCGCGCAGCATTTGGGACGCGGCGACGTCGAGCGCAAACGAGTCGTTCGCCGTCGAACCCGCGGCCGCTTTCCGCCCATTCGCGTCCCCGCGTGCGCGCCCTTCATCTTGAACCGACGCGTTTCTCTGATCTCGTCGCTTTCATCGTAGCGCGGCGCGCGGTCCGCTTTCGGCTTTGCCGGGACGGCGCCGAGGGGACTCGCTCGGGCTCCCGCCCCAAACAAGAACTCGTCCGGAGAGCCTTCGTTCAGCGTCGGCGCGTCGGCTCGGCCGCCCGCTCGCTCGCTCGCACGCACTTCCTCGCCGCCTCCGAGCCGAACGCATTCAAGACGAAAGAGCAAAAGCCGACGGCTTACTTTCTCCAAGAGACCTCTCTTCCCACCGCGCGCAGCCGCCATTTCGTCTTCGCCCCAAACGCGGCAGTGATGATCTGGCAGCTGCCGATTGGTCGGAAACGTCGACGTCAACGACGGCATCACGCCGCGACGCGTTTCCCCCCCCCCCACCCCGACCACAATCTTGGACCTCGTATTATACTTTAGCTTTTTCTGACGTTCGTTGTGATATAGTAGAGTTTCGAGAAAGATTCGGATATTGCAAACGTGTGTCACTTTTGTCCAAAATCCCGATCGAATTGGGTTGGGTGAGACAGAACGGCACCACGCGAGCGTCGGCCGGAACTTGGACATCGGCTCGCCTGTTGATGACGTCATATAGCCGGAAGCCTGGGCGACGAGTGCGCGTGAGCGGAAACGAGTAGCGGTACATGTACACAACTTTACTGTGGGGGGACGGAGATCTGACCTGATTTGAAACGAGTTGTTGCCCAGCCCACGACGGCGAGGTGTCATCCACGTTGACCTCCTTTCGCTCGATGAACACAAAAATAAAAGGCTGCCGCGCTGTTTTTGTCGCTGTTGTTTCACTTTTTTTGCTCAGTCACGTGCGCGTTCATCCAAAATGTCCCCTTTTTATTTGGCACTCCAAACTCTGCTACATCAGGCCAACCGCAACTCCTTTCGAAAATGTGCATTATCGTGACAATGGTGAACAGAATCCTATTTGTGCTCGAAAATACATGAAAGCTGGCATGTGTCAAGAAAAGAAGCCCTTCAGCGGAGGAGACGATGCCATGGGAACAACCCCCTGCCCAACTCTTTTACACTCCGAGCTGGCACGTGTCAAGAAAAGAAGCCCCTCAGCGGAGGAGACGATCCCGTGGGAACAACCCCCTGCCCAACTCTTTTACACTCCGCAGCGAATACACCGTACAGGATGGACACCAATCGCCACGAAAGGTCTTCACGCACCGAAAACTTGAGAGACAGTGGATTAACGTGGAAGAAAAAAAAGAAATGACTCGTCACACGTAATACTTTGGCTTGGACGAGAACTCCGAGCGCACCGCGCTCTTTTCACTTGGTGTCATTTCTTCCGGGAGGTGACTCGTCAGCGTTCCAAAAATGTGCGTGAGCTGATTTGAAGACGCGAAACTGCGCTTTGGCGCGAGGGTGAGCGCAACGGTCGTCATGCCAGTCGGCGGGATGGAAAATACATCCGACGCCGGCAACTTGATTGGAGACAACTTTGGAAATAGTTGGCTCCAACGTCGTTTGCGCACAACGTCAAGATTTCAATCGGGGGCACTTGAAAGAATTGCTTTGCTTCACCTTCAGAAACGAGTTGCCAAGAAGTTGAAACGTCGGGCCCCACTCAAAGTCTTGACACGAGTCCAAGCGAGAAGATCTGCTGCGTTCCTCCAGTATTTCGATTATTTTTCCCAGCATTTGGAAAACTCGGGCATGGTTGTGCCAGACTGAAAGACCGCACGACCGTCGTGTCGTCGAATCATCGGTGGGCCGGCGTCAGTGACCCCCACCCAGATTTGGTTTTATTCTTCAATGGCGAAAACCGTTTTTGTCCCTTTTGGCGGCGCCCCCCCGACGTCAGCTAGCGGCGCTGGCTGATACGGCAGGAGCGTCGCAGGCCGCGCCTCCTGCGGCCGCGATTGGCCATCCAGGAGCGCAGGAAATACTTGTCGGGGCCGCCGGGGCGGGAGGCGCTCTCGCGGTCAAAGCGTCTCTGCAGCTCGAGCGCGAGCGCCCGGTCTTTTCTCTCCTGGCGGACGGCGTCGTCGTCCCGGCGTTTGGTCTTCCCGCCGCGCTCGGAGGCGGCCGTTTCCTTGCGGGGGCTGGCCGAGTCCCTCGGCGCCAGCTTGCACGAGCGGAAGCCGGACTTGCGGGCGCACGGGGAGAAGGAATGCCTGCGTCCGAACAAGGCCCCGACGCCGGGCCCCGGCTCCAATCGGCAATCGGCGCCGCGGCGCACGGCGGGCACGCGGATCTTGAGGGCCGGGGCGTCGGCGTCGAAGAGCAGCCTCCTCTTGTTGAAGGGCGGCGCGGCGGCGGCGGCGGCGGCCTCCCGCGTCTCGGCGACGGGGCTGGTCAGCGTGGCCTTGGAGTCCACCTTGAAGCTCTGCCGGTCCAGCTCGATCTGGCGCCAGCGCTGCAGCACGGCGGGGCTGGCCTCGTAGCTGGTGGGCTTGTGCAGGCGCCAGCTGAGGTTGCGGGGCGTGGCCTTGACCACGGCCGGCTCCAGCAGGCGGCCGTCCGCCAGGCGCTTGGGCGGCGTGCAGGGCGAGCACACGATGGGCTTGAAATGGTTGAGCTCCTCCGAGATGCTGTCGTTGCTCTCCGGGCTGACCGAGCGCTCGGGCGGCGCGGCCGACGGCGCGGGAGGCGTGGCCGCCGCCGGCCC